GTGTTTTCTCTGGACATGAAGTAACTGCATTTAAAGAAACCTGTGAAGAAATATCTTAAAGGAACTTTTATTTCAATGCGTAATTTTTAGATGTGTTGAAATTGAGTGTTTTCTCTGCATTGAAATTTATTGAAAGTTTTGAAACAAGATTCACTTGACAATTATTTGGTGCTCAAACAACGCAAGTCATATTGAAATTAATCATCCAACACTCCCTCTTCTTGCTCTTTTCCCTCCTTAAAAAAATATAATATTTGCAAGTGTTACTCTTTGAAAACAATCTACCCTAAACTTTTAGACTTCAGGAGGTTAAAATTCCACCACTTTTTACTAGTAAAGCTATTTAATGAATTAGTCACACAGAATTGTGGAAAATGTTTCAATTCAGTCTAATTTGGAAGTCGGTTCTTTTAAAAAAACTACAGAAAACCAACTTCCAAATTAGGACTTTTCCAAATTAAGAGTTTTCCATGATCTTAAATTTTAAAATAAAATGATCTTATAGGTTAAGACCATACAAATTTGTTAGCAGAGGAACCAATGAGAAATGTGGTGTTTGGGAAAATTATGGCATGTAGTTAGATTATGTTTTTCTTGTTTGTTAAAATCCATGTTTTGTACTTTGTCATTTCCCTAAATTATTTGTGCTCCATCTGCTTTGTTCACTTCCTTTCCATTCAACCTCAGTAAATCCTTTTCCAAAGACCCTGTGTATGAGATACAATGTATTTGTTATTTTCTTTTATTCCATTTGCATTCATCTAATAGTTTGTCACATCATTGAATTCCAGCGTATGTAAACTTTCTGAAGGGAATTAGGAAATATAGCGTGCTCCGTTTCTAATTAATCCTCTCTAGAAGGCAATTTTCTTAAGGCAAAAATCATACTGCCTTCTCACATCAAACTCAGATTTCCAGATGTCATAGGAATATTCTATTTATTTAAATCGGTCCCAAATGGTATTTCGAGGCCTTAAACTGTCAGTTACTTCAGAATAAATTGAAGTAAAAGCAGAAAAAAATTATGTGGAGTGATACTTACCCTCAAGATTTGTGCAAGCCTTTGACAATCTGCTGTGTGTTCTTGATGTTTTTCGTATAACTCGCAGTAGTTGATGCTCAACAGTCTTGAGTTTGTCCTTGCTTTCATTGTTTTAGGCTCAAAATGCAAATTTCAACTTTAAGGCGTCTATTATTAGCCAAGTTATGTTTATAGAATGGGAAGGTCCCAAGTTTAATACCTGGTCTGTGATGATTTAGGCCGAGGGCAACTCAACAAGTGCTGCAGCAGGTGATCTGCTCTTGTTCTAGTCGTCTGTGCTGGGAAAGGATAAATGAGCTGAGAATAGCATTCAGGCCATATTGATGAATGCATTACACGGCAAGCAACCGACAGAACATTCCCCCTTATCACTTCACATTCAGTTGTTTTCACCTGTTTTTGCAGCTTAGATCTGTTACTGCTTCTGTACAGTTGTTTTATCATGTAAAGGCCTCACTCTCAGAACCGGATGAAATAAAATGGTTGGGTCGGATGGATGGTTGGAGTTGGGGAGTCTTTGGAGGTGGTTTTCCCATTATTACTACATATTGCCAAACTGGGTAAATTTACTGGCTGGCAGAGAATACATTTATACAGGGTTTGGTGGGCTGAATGACTCTTTCTTCTTCCATCCTTTCTCATGTCCTTATGCGTTATGTTTTATGAGTATACTTCAAGACTGTACAGTAATGCATTCGAGGTGACATTGCTAAATTGCTGAACTGTTCAAGCTTCACTTTTATAAATAATGTATACTTTATAGTAGTATCACAAGCTTTCCTTTTCAATACGATTAAAGTTATTTTAACAGGATCTATCATTTTAGTTTTATACCTAATACAGTATTTGCAGCTTTACGGAACTCAGTGGCTAAACATAAAAAGCACTAATAGTAAATCCCTTTTAAAAGTTCCATGAAATGCAGACAATTTGTTCATCTCTATGTTCTGCCAAAAGCATTTTCAGCAAATCGACCACCTTTCAATTTTTTTTCATCCAAATATAATCCTGCAGTGATGCAGTCCTATTAATGTTTCCAGCATCTGTCTTTATCACGTGGAACAACGAATACAGTCTTCGCTTTATACAACAGTACATTTATTTAGGAAAGACAATTGCAGATTTTCACAATCTTTGATGTTATCCTGCTTGCAAGGTGCAAATCTTGCATCATTAGAGCTAATGCTTTGCAGGGAATAATAACAACAATAACGATCAACATCTTTAAATTCAAGCACGTCTCAAAATGCTTGACATGATTTTACTGTAAAGTGTGGTAATTTTGTAAGTCATTTGGTACAAATACATTCTGCTACCTTTATTCTTTTATCGGAGCTGAAAAAAAAGTGAAAGTGCCAGATCTCCAACTACATTTAAAAAAGCATTGTTGAATTCCTAATGATTAGGACTGCGACAAGTAGGAATTATTGACAGTGCATTGTGTAAAATGGTAGGAAGCCTGCAACGAATCTTGGGTCACCGCATACAGTGTTCGCTGTTCTTTGAGAGTGTTTCATGCATGTAACTAAGTTTGTTTTGATTTCTTAGAATGAATCAATGATTAGCTCAATATTATTGTATTTCAGTTTTTTTTTCCAATTAAACTTAAGGAACATTTCAGCAGCATGATCGCTCACTTGATTTTCCATACATCTTATTGGCTTCAAAGTTAGAAAATTCTGCAAAACTTTACTCTTTTAGTTTTACTTCTCAGAAGTACAGAGACTAGGTTTTGGCCTTAGTGCTGAGTTTGCTGTTTTCAATGCGAGAGGCAGTGCAGTTACTTCGATGCCACAGACCTAGAGTGGGAAAAACAAGACAACATTCCCATTGGTGATGCCCATCTGCTGCTCACTGTCAAGGATAACATCGGGCCTGGCTATAATCTCCCCTGAGGTGAAAGAGTCTGTGACGATCCCTGTTAAGGGACACACATCAATGACGGTCACTTGCCATTGTACCAAAGGGTATAATTTCAGGAGAGGAGACAAAGAGAGAAACATTTTAATATTTTAAGAAAAGGAATTCTTTTGTTCATTGTTTAGGACCTTCTGATTGAAAATAAATCCATGTAGCAATGATAGATATCCTTTCCAAACTCCCCCGAATGTTCGTAGCACACGGCCTATTTATTTGTTTGATTTAAGTTATTGAAAAGGATGTTAAAATAAAGAAGTAAGTGCAAATATCAGCATGCACTAGATTAAACTGCATAGGTTTTTGGCTTTCCATCTGGTATTGGGTTGAGTCAACAGCTACTGAATTAATAATTAATGGGTTGTCACGGTGATCATTGCAGTGAATCACTTCAGGAAAGTACTGGTGGGTAGTGTTGAGCAGTTTGGTTATGTGCAATTAAGCTTAATTTAATTCTTTTCTCCTCCTCCTAATTTTCTCGCCTCTGCTCATGGAAGCATTGACTCATGCTGACGTATATTCTCATTGAGCGACAGACACAGTCTGTAAGTCACCCAAGTGGTTACTGTTCACATGTGATCCAAGACAGTGAATGATGGCATCCTGCATAAATCTTAAGGGATATTGAGCCCCATCCTACCCTCACCTGAGGCACACTCAGAGATCAGACCAGCTAACTCAGCATAGACCGGAGGTTGAACCAAGAACCTTCCTGGTGTGTATGGCTCAGATCTTACATTGACCAAAACTTTATTAATGAGTGCATGTAATTTTTTTCTTTTTAAAAACATTGCTCTAATGCAGTAGTGGAACATAGAATGATTTTAAATATTTTATTTGAATCATTTCTATTATAATAATAATAATACTTGCCTTTGATATAGAGGTAGTGCCTTTCAAGGCAGGAGGCTCTCAAAGCATTTCACAAGATTTTCTATGGAGTATAGTGACTATGCATTTTGTAGGCGAATGTTGAGTAGTTAATAATAATAATCCTTGGATTTGATATAGCGCTTTTCACGTCTTCTAGACGTCCCAAAGCGCTTCACAGAATATACTGTAAAGTGAATCGACTGTATATTTGTGGGCAAACGCAGCAGCCAATTGCGCACAACAATGTCCCACAAACAGTCATGGCCTGAAAATAACCAATTTATTATTGCTTTTTTTTTGGAGGGATTATTATTAGGCGTGTGGAGTAAGGAAACTTGCCCAAGATTTCGCCAACATGTTCTTAACATTTTAAAACTATAACTGATTACACAGATTTAGATTACTATGTCTTAACAAGTGAATGTGTCTGCAGATTAAGTTTTACATGAATTCCTTTTCATTTAAGCAATTGATAAGAATGGGCAACAAAAGTATTTTATTCAGGTGGTATTTGGCTCCACTTACCAGCATTGTGGAGTGGGGAGGTTAAAGCACACTTCTACGCTCCATATATATACTGTTTTTACTCTAAATCTCACCTCCCTTCATTTGAGAAAATATCTCCTTCCACTCAACATCAGCCCAGTTGAGCTGAGGAAATCATTGATGATGAACGTGTACCTTAACACTCAGTGGCACAGCACATTTTGTTATTGCATAATATGCTGTTGCCAGACAAAGACATCGAAGATCCTCGTTAATAAAGTTGCATTTAAAAAGCTGATGAAATTTAACTTTTGAAAGCACATGATGACAAGGTCAGTAGCTTTAATGGAATTTCATCCTATGCTCAACATTTAAAATAATGCAAACTACAACACAAAGTGATTTCATGTCATTGTTTTTCCCATTAGTAGCCACAGAGTACATTAGATGTGGCATATTGATACTTCTAAGTGCAGTGAGAACACATACAAACACTGTATTTAAATGCACTTTGTTTTAGGAATGCTGCATAGTTCTGTACATTTTACCATATTGCTTTGTAAATTGTGGCTTTGAAATTTTCAGCAAATCATTTTCACTGATCTTGCTATTCAAAATGTTCTCAAATTTGAATCATTCCAGGGACTATTGAGTGTTCTGAAAAGTAGAGAAGCTGGATATTAAGTGGGTGGACGGTGAGTCAAGATGATTGCGTTTGATGAGGCATCTACAGTACAGGTATTTACATGAATGTAAATCAGAGGAAGGAAGAGGCTGATTTCACACTAGGTATTATGGAATTACTGTGTTATCTGTTCATGGCTTTTCAGAAGAAAGAAATACGTACTACTTCCATACACTGTGCACTCAATAGTTAAGTACTGAATAATAATAGCCATTTGTATTGATTGCATAACTTAGTGGTGAAATAAATGGAGGGTATTAATTGTGGTTTTGATCTATTAATCCCAGATGTGTTCAGATGTTGTTCTATGGCTGGTTTAAAAGTTACAGTTTAAATTGACTGATTTTGCGACACCTGATTGACCAGTTCTCCCAAACCACTTGACAAGTGAATTGAATCCAATAGATTATGGTGCTATCTCAGGTTTTGTATGGAGTGTGTGCTTTGTGCTGTCATTTTCCATTGAAGAAAATGTTACATTAGTCGACACTGTGCATTGTAGGTTCTCAAAGTATTTTAATGCCTGAGAAAACAACCCTCCAAAGAGAGTACCATTCTCACAACATCCCTTACCTCTGAAATTCACTACCTCCATCTGTCTGCCTTGTCCCCTTTCTATCTGTCTTTGAATCCCACATTAAAACCTACAATTTCAACTGCGCCTATGATCACCTCCCACTTCTCCATTGTTCAGCATCCAACCCCACCAACATGAAGTGCTCCAAGATGTCATCCTACATAAAAGGCACTACATAAATCCAAATGTTGTTGTTACATTATATGATAAGCTTTTGTGTTCAACAAAGCAATCTCAGAGAACTATTACAAACTCATGAACTGTTAATAAAATAACGTGCAAATATGTTAAATGATTGTTGGTATGCTTGCTCTGGGACTTGCTAGAACCAAATCCCAAATTCGACTCTTGAAATCTTTTGACAGAAGATTAAAAAGTAGAAAGTTATCAAATGAAACAAATTGCTCATACAGCCTGGACCAAATTGGTGGTAGCGGTTATCAGTGGATTTCATATTGGAAATCGGAAACAGATTTCACGGTTGCATTGGCCTCAGTTCCAATGTTCCATTGGTTATTGATCTTAGTTTGGGGTTAGGGTTACTACTGATGCTTTTTCTTTCCTGGAAGCTCTCCTAGATCAAATATTCTTTGCAGTCAATGCTAAAAAGTGGCTACAGGATCAATTACATCCTTATTTCTGAGGAAGATTAGCATTTTTTTGTATTATTGCACTGAGATCAATTCTCATTGTTTCTGGGGTGAAACATTCCATTTGTTCTGTTTTCTCCATCATCTTTCCAATCAGTACACACCAATTTCGGCATTTCAAACACATTTCTCAACCTATGTGATTCTTTTAATATGATTGTACTCATCCATTTCTTTTGATCAGACATTTGAACATCTCCTCCACTTGTGTGCTCTTTGCTTGAAGAACATAGAGCTTGAAATCATAGCACTCCAGTGGAATACTCAGAGCTGTGTTGTTACTGTTTTAGTTGGGAATGTCTGGAGAGGACAGTGAGTTAATTATACGTCACTTCTTAGAGTTTGAATTTTTCTCAGAAGACCAGCCATTGATCTGTCCCATTCTCCAGGGTTTCCTCTTGATCTTTTGAATAAGTGTTGGAATGGAATTAAAACTAAGCTAAGCAGGTCCATAGCGAGAACTACTTCTATGGGTTCCAATTTAATCTCTCCTTCTCTCTGTGATGAAACAAAATCTTTAGTGTAATAAATAATTTATTTCTCAAAGCCTTTTTTAAATTCCATTTCACTCAATCTGCCATTCTACATCAATTGGCTCTATCCTCTCATGCATTCACTATTAAAGATGCATATCTAATGTTGATGCTGCTCGCTCTGTTACTGCAGGACCATTTTGCACAGAAAATGATGGATCATCTAGGTGTTATTACGAGTCAGGGATCAAGAGTAAAGGCCTGAGGAAGAGATAAATTCATGGTACCTGTTTTTGGGAATGATCGAAGGGATCAAGAAATGTTATAAACTGCAAGAGTGAACCAACAACGTGAAACTTCTAATTAACTAACTGACTTGACGTCGCTATTTTAAATACTGTGAGTGGTGTTTTTATTTTATATATTTCTTATAAGCCATGATCCAGTTTTGAGTCCTCTGGAGGCTATCAAATGCAAGGATTATTATTACAATTGTTCCAACGAAGGCTATAAGTCGGCTCAGTGCAGTTGATACACAATGTGACTTACCCATAAGGTGAACGATTATCATATCATCACTGGAGGTTCATTCAGTAATAATTTACAATTGAGCGTAGCGAAATTCTGTGGAGAGTCTGTATTGCATAGATTTTAAATTGCTCTGTTAGAGAATGACTAACAAAACGCACATCACAATGAATGTTCAAATATTATTATGTACACTTATATTTTCAAGACAATTTTTACTATTTAATGCACAAGGTTAGTTTGAACCTTTTAAGGAAAAACAGAGAGGCACAGTAATAAGACTACAAGACTACTCTCTTCCCTTCTTTTTTCTTAAAAAGCGGTGGATGCTGGATCTGTTCACATCTTCGAGACTGAGGTGGATAGATATTTGTTAGGTCAGGGTATTAAGGGATATGGGGCAAGGACAGGTGATTGGATTTGAGGTGAAGTTTAGCCCTGATTTTATAGTATGGCAGAACAGACTCGAGGGGCTGAATGGTTCCTATTTGTAGTTTCTATGTTACATTGACCTTATGAAATCTAATCAAATACTGAGAGTTCACCTTATTGTACCTGTAAGCATTCTGTGATATGTATTACTCAACTGTCAACATGTAGTCGTTGAGTTTGGGACTCTTGGCCATCAGCAGTGTCAAACCAAATTTCTGTTGGAGAGTCTTTTGCCAATAATTCATTCCTGTTATTAGGTATATTTAATCCACATAGCTCCTGTTCAATATCTTATTGTTGCATGAATTACACATAGATACCAGTCAGAAGAGATGAATAAGTACATGATTTGATCACTACAGAGAGCAGCTTCAAACTGTCTATTAATCATGAGAATTGGTATATGATTTTTCTGTAAAATAGCTATTAATGGCCACCCTTATTTCGAGGAACTCATCTAGGACGATCCTCACCAATAGAGTTTTGGTTTTGTGATATATGCCCTTAGAGTCTGCTCATCCCAAGGTGAGCAGACCTCCCTCCAAGTTGTATTTTTTTTAGCCACAATACCTCTTTTAGCAATTCACGAGGGCTGAGTGGACTCATGGTGACTAACAACTTTGAACCAGCCAAGATATTCAGCAAAATAAACCTTAAGCACAGAGGAAAGTTCAATTGTGTCATTGCTAACCCAAAAGCAGAATTGGCAATTACACTTTGCCTATTTTGAGTGTTAAACATAAATTTTGATAAAACGTACAGCATACTACATAAAAACAACTGGAAATGTTTTAATCACAGCAGATATAGTTCCGTTTGGGGAAATATATCAAAAATAGACAGTGGTGGCTCTGTATTAACATTGTGAGAAAGTTGTTTCTGGGAACTGATATGCTGCCCTTTTAAACTGTTTGTCCTGTGTGGTTTCCAAGCCACAAACAGCCTTCCATGTTACCAGAGTACTCATGTCATGTCTTACAAAGTGCAATTTTGAGTAATTTCGCAATCATCTCATGAATTTTATGTTTCTTTTAAAAAAGGGGCTAGAATAAATATTTAATAAGATTGGTGCTTAATGGGTAATCACATTTTCAAATAACCACAGAACTTCTAACTGATGTGCTGCTGTTAATGGTATTATTGGAATGAAGCCAGGAGTATTGGAATGCAACAGAGGGAGGTTCACATGGTTAAGTTAAGCTTTTTTTTAACAGCTTATTTTAAGCATCAAAGAAGTCTCACTTGGATCCAATTTATAAACACTTAAAAAAATTATGAAGAAAACCTAACACCATTTGGTGCTTATTTTTGTGGATTTCTTCAATAGTTTTGCTCAAATAGCAAACGTTGATAACACCGTCAGGAGAAACCAACTTGGAGGGGTTACTGACCTTGACAGTGTGAGGGAGCGGAATTAACATTGATAGAGATACAGGGCAAATATTTGGAAGGTCGGTCAATTATTGGCTACTTACTGCCAAGTGGAATATATCACTTGGGGCATTAAAAGTACATTCAGTACTCTCCGCTCATTGCAACATACATTTACCACAGAACAACTGATGATCATTAGACGCCTGAAACTTCACTGAGCTTTGCCTAGTAAGAACGTTTTGGCTGAGTTGAAGAACTTTCTGCAATCCTTTGTCATTTTAAATTTGAATACAAAATGTCTCTAAGGATTCGACCAGGCCATAGAAATCCAACACCAATAGTGGCAGTTGTTTGTGTGTGTGACGGGGTGGGGGAGTGGGGGGGGACTTTCCTTAATATTGGATTAAGGAGCAGGTACCTGCTCCCTCCCCACTTTCAAAACTACTTCAAGACTAACCTCTTTAACCACGCTTAAGGTTATCTTTCCCCTCCCTGTCCTCTTCAGTTCCCATTCACTGGCTTCAGTTCTCAGCCAGCATTGTAATGAACTTTGAGACGTCTGCCTGACTTAAAGTCGCTATGTAAATGTAAATTGTATTGTATGAAGACAGGAATAAAGTCATGGTTAGGTCTGCAATACATTAAATCCTTGGAACCTTAAAACTGGAACTTCTTTGGTATTTGTGCAATCATTAGAAAAGTGTGGAGTAGAAAGTATAATGCAATCCAGTAAAATTGTGGAATGTGTCAAGACATATACGGCCAAAGTTTATGTCATCTAAAATAATTTTCCCTTATAATAATAATCCTTGGATTTGATATAGCGCCTTATCACGTCTTTGAGACATTAAAAGTGTTTCACAGAATATACTGTAAAGTGAACTGACTGTTTATATTGTGGGCAGAACGCGGCAGCCAATTGCAGAGAGCAGTGTCCCCACAAACAGTCGTGGATAGAGTTACCAAATTATTATTATTATTATAATTTTTAAAGGGATTATCCCTTCTTGCATACTGCA